GACTCGAGCGTGGCCAGAGAAGGGCAACGGAGCTGGGGCAGGGTCTGGAGCACAGGTCTGCTGGGGAGCGGCTGGGGGAACTGGGGGGGTTCAGTCTGGAGAAGAGGAGGCTGAGGGGAGACCTCCTGGCCCTCGGCAACTCCCTGCCAGGAGGGGGCAGAGAGGGGGGATGAGTCTCTGGAGCCAAGGCCCCAGCGCCAGGCCCCGAGGGAATGGCCTCAAGCTGCCCAGGGCAGGGTCAGGCTGGCTCTGAGGAAGGATTTCTGTGCAGAAGGGGCTGTTGGGCGTTGGAATGGGCTGCCCAGGGCAGGGGGGAGTCCCCGGGATCCCTGGGGAGGTTGAAGAGTCGGGCTGAGCCAGCGCTGAGGGGTCTGGGGGAGTTGGGAAGGGTCAGGGGGAGGGTCATGGTGGGGCTGGAGGAGCTTCAGGGGCTTTTCCAACCTTGATGATTCTGGGATAAACGATGCCGACTGGCAATCCGGCGGCGTTACTCCCATGACCCGCCGGGCAGCTCCCGGGAAAGCCCAGTCTTTGGGTTCCAGGAGGAGTACGGTTGCAAAATTGAAACACAAAAGAATTGACAGAAGGGCACCACCAGGAGCAGAGCCTGGAGCTTAATTTGACTCAACACGGGAAACCTCACCCGGCCCGGACACGGACAGGGTTGACAGATGGAGAGCTCTCCCTCGATTCCCTGGGTGGTGGTGTGTGGCCGTTCTTAGCTGGTGGAGCGATTCTGTGGTTCAGATAAAACCAGCAAGTTTAAAAAAAAAATAAAATAAAAATCATGAGGCAAGTAACAAAATAAATACAGTGGACAGGGCCGCACGGATTCCGGTGGGTTTAAGACCTGACTGTGTCAACGGAAAGGAGCTCTGCTGGTTGTGTATGGGCGCCAAGGCTTTGTCCTCCCTGTCCCCATGGCACGGCCGTGATACTTCTCTGCTGATTTCATCCTTCCACGTGTATCCTGTGGCAGTGCTGTTCTTCCAGCTTTTACGCGTTTGTTTACCGTTTGTGAAATCCCAGTGCCGATGGGTTTAGCGTTGGGTATGGGAGAGTGGTTTGCGCTGTTGGTTTTTCCCTTTGCTCTTGCTGAGCTCCGCTGTGTGTGGGAGGCTGTCTCTCTGTTAGCCTTGTATTCGGAGCTGGAGGGCGTCGGGGTGCTCTGTGAGGCATAAAGGGCTTGGGAGAAAGAAATGGGCCCGCCTAGGATTTTTCTGTGGGTGCTCAAAGGGCATTTTAAACACACCGTGGTCTTCAGCTTTCCAGCAGCCTCGACTTGGGAACTTGTCCTGTGGAAGTTGCAAAAGAGAAATGTGTTACTTCATACTGTGCCCTTTTCTCTATTTTTTGCAATCCGTAAAGAGGGCTGCAGAGATAAAGAAAGCTTCCAGGAAGGTGATCTTGGCTGGGTGTTGTTTGCACATGAGAGCGGATTAGATAGTGGTTATTTGCTTCCTTAGCGCTCCGGATCTGAGGATATTCCCCATAAGGGAAGATTTGTGTGCTGCCCACAGAGAGCCCTCGTCACAGGTCAGCTGCTGTCCTCTGCCAAGCCTGTGTGTCACCTCTGTGGTGTGGCACTGCTGTGGTGTGGCATCTCTGTGGTGTGGCACCGCTGTTGTGTGGCACCGCTGTGGTGTGGCACCGCTGTGGTGTGGCATCTCTGTGGTGTGGCACCTCTGTGGTGTGGCACCTCTGTGGTGTGGCACCTCTGTGGTGTGGCATCTCTGTGGTGTGGCATCTCTGTGGTGTGTCACCTCTGTGGTGTGGCATCTCTGTGGTGTGGCACCGCTGTTGTGTGGCACCTCTGTTGTGTGGCACCTCTGTTGTGTGGCACCGCTGTGGTGTGGCACCGCTGTTGTGTGGCACCGCTGTGGTGTGGCACCTCTGTGGTGTGGCACCTCTGTGGTGTGGCACCGCTGTGGTGTGGCACCTCTGTGGTGTGGCATCTCTGTGGTGTGGCACCTCTGTGGTGTGGCATCTCTGTGGTGTGGCACCGCTGTGGTGTGGCACCTCTGCTGTGTGGCACCTCTGAGTTCTGGAGGAAGAAGCCTTGGTTGTGGACTTGCAGAGCAGGCCGCTGTGGCAGCTTTCCCTGGCATGCCTGCTGTCTCTGCACTGCTGGATACCCTGTGGGACTGAAGAAGTGTTTTCTGAAGAGCTGAGGTGGGGAGGAAGTGGAATTTCTCCCTGTAGTTCTCATAGATGCTCCTGACGTCCCGATGCTTTTTCTTAATAGAGCTGAGGTTTGTAACAGCTGAGAAAGTTTACCAACCCTTCGAGGTTGGCGTTTTTCAGGCCTTGTGAAGCTCTTGGTAATTCAGACACCTCGCTCAGGTGATCTGCCTTTCCTCAGCTGGTACCCAGTACCTATCCGAAGTGCACAAGCTGCTCCGAAACACGTCATCACGCTTCATAGTGACGGCGTGTTGAATTCATCACAGGCTCAGCCCAGACTCCCACAGTTTGCTTCTACCTATATATACACATTCTTTCTGCTCTGTCAATTTTAAGGCTCTTAAAACAGAATTTGAAGAGTCTATAAACGCTGTTTATCTTCATTTTATGTGCCAGTGATTTTTGTCCAGACGTTGCACCTGGAAGGAGAGCTAGCAGGAGGAATGGAGAACAGCCTGGAAGTGGGAGCAAAACTGCAGTTTCCAGAGTCCCAGAAACTGCACCAGAAAGAAAATACTGAGATTATTACCAAACTGGTAAAAGCCCTGGATGTTCTTTCTGGTGCTAGTGAAGTTGGATATTAGCCTTCCTTCCTTTAGTTGTAGTTCTGCCGTATATCAGACTCCTGTTTTGTAGGAGCTCTTTCTATGTTGTGGGTATCAAAACATAAATGATACCAAATATTTATGCGTTTGCTATCAAAAGCTGGAATCAGGGAATGCAGGGAGGAGGAGAAGAATGCACTTTTAGTAAGGTGTTTTTCCTTTTTGTTTGTGGAAAAGGGGGAAGTGTTTTCCTGCTTTGTATATCTTAAACGGTCAGAAAAGTTTGCATCCACTTGGTATCAGTTGCATCTATATTTGTAATGAGCTTTGTTAGCATCCTGAATTGGCTGTGCATGCTCCAGGAGAAATGAGAGTCAGCTTTGAAGAAAGCGGGTCCTGGTCCTGTTCTTCCCCGTTGCAGCCAGATCAAAAGACCCATTGAGATGAATAATAAAGTCCAAATCAAGAAAAAAAACATTATGATTCAGACAATATCCCTCAGACTCTGCAAAATACTGGAATAAGGAATAATCAGTTCAACTAACCGAGAAACTACTTCGGAATTAGATATCCTCAAAACCCAGCGTATGCTTTGGTTTCGATCTGTTCTCCTTGCAGAAAATGCGCCGGGGTTTGGGCCTCCGCTGGGTGAGATACTTGATGCTCAGACGCTTAAATGATGCTTTTCCCCCCGGTTTCGTAAGGCGGCATTTCCTCGGTGCTGTTCAGATGATCTCGGGGGGCATCTCATTCCCACGCTCGCCCTTCTCTTGCTCCGTGCCTGCGCAGTCCCTTCAGAGCTTGTGGTTGGGATATTTGCCGTTGGCCCGTCCTGAGGGCAGCGCAGCTCACATTTTGGGGGGGGGGTAGGACGATCTAGCAGCAGTGTTTTTGTGTTGAATGCTTTGTTCCAGCCATTCCGCTGCCTTTCTGCTGCTCGGTTCACTGATCATGTATGCAAATCCCACCTGCAAGCATGGTCTTGAAAATTACGTTAAGAATCCAGTTTACCAGTGAGCACAAAAGTTCTTACCTGGAAGCGGTTTCCTTAATCATTTAAAGCAGAGGATAGATCTTTTTTTTTTTCTTTTTCTTTTTTTAAGGTGAAGTCTCAGAATCATTAATTCTAAAGCGTATGCACACGTGGAATTGCAGTGTGTTAATGGAATTCCACACAGTGGAATTGCAGTGTGTTAATGGAAACAAATGCGAAGTGTCAGAGACTGAAAAATGAGGTTATGTCCCTACGGAAGGACCGGTGGCAGCCTCGGAGCGGGCTCGCTGCATTCTCATGACACCAAGCTGTCAGTCTTGTAGAAAGGAATCTTATGAGTCTGAGAAGCCGCGGTATTAAACTTAAAACTTTCCGATGCATCTTGCTGAGAGTGACACTCATGTTCTGCTGAATTCTGAGGCACTTATCTCCATTTCAGCCCTTTTTTTGTTTCTGTGCCAGGAGTCAGCAGTCACCAAGCACCTGATATCGATCTTGGAGCGGGTTATCAGTTCCTTGGGCACTGATGCGTTCCCCACCTCTTCTGCTTTCACAGCCAGATGCAACCTCAGCGGGGCTGTAATTCTTCCTCTGCTTCACCGGCTTGTGCTGACAGGTTTGCTACGTGGGAGGGTGTCCTCGGTTTATTCTGGTCTCTCTCCCTTCCAGGATGGCGCGCTCTCTGTATGACTGGCTGTGGCAGCATGAGTTCTGGCTGCCCCCGGGAATCACCTGGCAGGATATGCAAGAGTCTGAAGATGTCCATTACCCACAGCCTCGTGATCTCTTGCTCAGCATCCCTTTTGCTTTAATCTTGGTTGCCATTCGACGTGCCTTTGAAAGGTAAGTTATTTAGTGCTGTTGGGGGTTTAGTACTCGTTAGGGACGATGCCGGCAATTTTGGTCCAAAAGCTGGCTTTATTGTCTGTGCCAACGTATGACTGCAGAGGTCCACAGAAACTCCAGGTCTTAAAGTCTGCTGAGACACATTTTTCAGCTCTTGCTTTCCAGCCCTGTGTACTGTGGCTAAATGAGTGTGTTGAATATAGAGCACAAAACCTGCCCAAAAGGTCTAAGCCATGTGACTACCTACACTTGCAACAGGTAGGCCCCAGATAAGGTTCATGTTTGTGTCCTGAAGACAGACACGCTGTTTTGTGTGCTGTTGCACCTTACAGAGGGGGAAAAAAGACAATTAAAATGTTTGTCAACTTTTTTTAAAAAAAGTGACTGCACAAGCAAATGGAAGCAGACCTCTTCAGGCTGGAAAGATGTTTCTTCTCCAGATTCTCTGTTATACAGGGACAGCTTGGAAAAAATTATAGAAGTTGAAATGATTCAGAGCTCTGCTGTGAGAATGTTTTTAATTAAAACAGAATTATAGGCAGTATTTGTATGTCAACACAAATGCGTGAATAATTCTTTAAATGATCATTTTATGATGGTAGAAAATCGGAATCCAAATCTCTCCTTTGTAGCAATATGTTTCGTGTGCATTCCGTAAATTCCGTTAATTTTATCCTGCACTTTGCTGGGGACGTAGGTGTCTCAGTTGCCTCCACTGGTGTGGGGACAAAGGTGCTGTAGGTGACCACTGAAACACAAGTGACTCACAGCTGATCTGCAAGACCTGGCTGGACGCCGTACTCCCGCAGGTAGGCGCTGTCAGGCGGTGACTTGGACACAGCTGCGAGCCCCCGTGTCCGCATCGATCGACTGGGACTGCCCGGGGCTGGGCTCCCTGGTACAAGACACGAACAGGAGGAAGAAGGAGCCCGACTCTTGGTGCCCGGTGACAGGACAAGAGGCAGTGGGCACAAATGGAAATGGATGATACTCCGTCTGAACATGAGAAAACACTTTTTTTTTTTTTTTTTATTGTGAGTGTGGTTGAACACTGAAGCAGGTTCCCCGGAGGATGAGTGCAGTCTCCATCTGTGGAGATACCCGACACCCAGCAGACACAGCCCTCCCCAGCTGTAGCTGACCCTGCTGGAGCAGCAGAGGGGAGCTGGATCATCTCCAGAGTCCTTCAGCATCGATTCTGTGCTTCTGTGACTTGTCCCTTTATTCCCCTTCCTCTTGCCACACCACTCCTAGGCAATCCAAATATCTTCTCCAACTGCTCTAAGATGCCAATGGCTAGGTAAACCAACATTTTTCTTTCCCATCCCAAGTGCTGCCTCAGCTGGGAGAGTTTCCACAGGCCTGGTCCTACTCATTAATTTTAAAGCTATTTTGATTCACAAACTTCATTAAATCTTCTTGTCACACCCTAAAAAAAAAAAAAGATAATATCACGAGTCCATTTTACAAGTCCATGAAACCTGTAATCATACCACTATCCTACCAGTGGCAGTTACAAGCCAGTGTTCTGAGCTGTATTCTTGTTTGTCCTAACTCTCTGCAGTCATTTATTTCGGCATGACATTTTCTTTATCGTTACTGCTTTGTGTTCAGTTCCTCGCGGAGGAGGACACTTCCCCTCGTGAGTGGGAGGCGTGAACCAAGTCCTCTGCTAGTGCAGCGGCACTAGCCCTGTATAAAATAATTCGCAGAAAGGTTGAGAATCGCAGAGCGAAAGGATGCGTGTGTTATTTCTCCTTCTCCGCGTAGATGGCCTTGGCTTTGTAGCTTTGGATATCTAGTCAGTGGCTGAAAACAAGCGTATATAACTAGTATACAAGTTTGGGTTTGGTAGCTTTAGCTTGGCCTCTGGCAGTTTATTCCACCTGCACCAATTCCTTGCAACGGTGCATCAGGGGCAAAGCATTTTTTTCTCTAGGTGCGCTCTGTGTTCCTGGTGGTGCCTGCTCTGGGGTCTCGGAAATGCTATGATGTGTTCGTGTCATTTATTTGTGTCAGAACTCCAGGAAAATACTAAGAGGCAGGAGAAACCAAGAGAATTTTCTGCAACCGCTTGTTCTGCATCAGCCACCAGGCTTGGGCCAACGGTTCCATCTTCCTGGTTTGGAGATTAAACCTGGGGAAGACCCCGTTTCCTCAAGCGTGGATTTTCCTCTCCTTGGCACCTGCTGGCTGAGCTGGACAAAGCTGAGACAGCGACATCCTTCTACCAACCAGTTGTTCTGTGGGTTAGGTGGTGGCTGTGGGAAGAGGACATGCGGTAGCTGGGTGGGGCCTGGGAGCTCTGAGGAGGTTGTGGGTGCAGCCCTGGGGGAGAAGAAACAGCTCACACGTCAGTGAAGCAACTCTTCTCTGAGCCAGTTTGATCTGGAGAAGGTGGGAAAATGGGGCGTTCGGTGCTGGAGAGCAGAGAGCTCTTGACCTAGTTTTTGGCACAGTGCTGAAGCAGGTGCTGGGTAACAGAGGACCTAGGAGCTGGGAACCTCTCCCCTTCCTTTGATGTTTCCAGGTTGTGCTTGTGAGCAGGAGAGATGTCCTGCACCCACAACCTGGGGCCTGATCTTAAGCCCCTGTACAGCCTAGCAGAACTTCTCCCTGGACACACACCTGCAAGCAGGGGTGTTGGCTTCTCTTCCAGTTCTGTAACGTTTGAGAGCCTTTTCCCTAAAAAAACCAAATTCTCGGAGTGTCATGATTATGGAAGAATTACAGCTTCCGTTGCAAAGTGTTTCTTGCCTCTAAGGTTATGAAAATGTGGAAACTGAAGTGCTTAGAGGGATAGCAAGGCAGAAAAATGAGAAGCAGAATTTACAGACAATTTAATCATCTTATTTTGGACTTGGCCAGTGATTTTTGGACCCAGGGATTTTTTGGGGAATTGAAAGCCAGTGTCCATGAATTTGAATACAGATAGTTCCCAAATTGCGCTAGAAGGTTTTAGTCAGAAAGATTAGGGTTTTTTCCTTAAGAGGGTTGTGACAGTATGTGAGCCATGAGTTGTACATAAAACGGAAGGGGTACTGTTGATCTGCAGGGGACAGATGCTTGAACTCAGAACCAGAAGGAAGATAGATGGAAGAGGACACCCTTTGAAAGTATTTTATTCCGAAACGTATCTTTCTGAAATTCGTTTTGCACAGAGATTTTGTTGCTGATCAATAATCAGGAAGGATCCGAATGCGGTTTAGGTTCTGTAGGCAGGGGGTTTGTGCGGAGGTGTGGGACACGGTGTAGTATTTAATTTGAAAACTGAACCGACTCGACTCAGTTTGGGCAGTAGCACTGTAATGACGTGAGATCTTGTATCAAGCAGAATGGTTTAAGCTTGATGTGAGGCATTCTCTTGTAAGCAAGAGAAGGTAGAGACTGTTGCAGGAGCACAGGGGTAGCCCTCTGCCAGAGGAAAGCGTGAGGCTGAAAGAGATCGTGCAGTTCAAAGAGCAGAAGTTCTGGTTGTTGCTGTCACAGGTTCTGCATTTCTTAGTACTAGAAGATATTTGCAGAGTGCACCCTTAGAAATTCAAGAATATTTCTGGGAGGAAAAAACCACAACTCCCTCTCCCAAAGTGGAATTACTCCTTGTATCTCACGCTAACACCGAAAGCCTCTGCGGAAGGCGTGTGGCTCACGTATCAGTTTCTGCTCCTTCACAATTAAGCCATTTAGTCTCAACTTCGGCAGGTTTCACACAAGACACGGTGCTCGCTGAATAAAATGTCTTGGTGTGAACTTTCCTGTAAACCCTGAAGTGGGAGAAGCTCACTGATGAAGAAGTAGGCTGGAGATGAGAACCATCTCGCTGACTGGACTGTGCCGTGCCTGGCTGTGGAGAGGGGTACGGTTTAGTCCTCAGACTTTCTCCTTCTGTCTTGCAGAGAGCTGATAAGCTGCCACGATGAGACCATCCCTGCAGCTGAGATGATGAGTCTGTGATGTTGAAATCAGAACAAGCATCATCCTGTTGCTTGGAACAAGGTTTAACTGAAAACTGAGTCAGAGCATGCATCCAACATGTACAAATGTCCCTTAGGAAGAATTTCAGGCTTTGATTTCCCAACGATGTTCACAAATGTAGGATGGTCCCATAATTCATGGTTAAACTCAAAACATCAACAACAAAGTAATTGTAACTTAGGTTAATTACACCTTGCCTTCATCAACTGCAACTGGCGTTGTTAGAGTGAGATTTTATGCCGTGACCATAAGAAACCGGCAGGAAAAAGACAGACAACAGGAATTAAACAAAATTAAGAAATCAGTCAGGATAATTTAAATAGTTTTTCAGTAAGAAACTTGATGGCAAGCTGCCCTGATGCCTGGCAGAGACATTCTTTTTCCTTTTAACGTGTCTGAAAAATTTCCAACCTTTCAGTTCCTGATGTGGACTGATAAGAAGCTGCAGCGAGGTTCTTCAACGACAGAACTCGATTACCTCTTCCTCTTCGGAGGAGCATGTATCAAATCACTTTTGAAAAAGAAAGATCAGGCCCCCCTCGAGGAACTGCTTAATACAAGACCCAAGAGCTAGTGCAGAGGTTAAGGTAAATGTTTTATCAATTTCAGTGTAGTTAGAGGTGTCACTGAAACACCATGTCATTTTTCTTGGCGCGGGACCTGCTGGTCCAACATCGCTGTTAACCCCTTTGATATTAAAACGAATTGTAAGATATCATTGAAACATTGCTTAAGAGCAGTTGGAGGTAAAATCCAAAATTCCCAGGGACGGCTGCGTTCCTCCGGCACCCAGCAGTCTGCTGGTCGCAGCAGCGCCAGGGTTCTGCTGAATTTCGCCGGAATTCATCTGCTTACACGTAGCCCCCGTGGTAACTGTGCGTCTTGTTGGAACGCCGTTAGCCAGCACCCTTACCCCCGCCTCTTCTCTCGGGGTGGAAACGTACCGTTTTCATTGGTCTTGGTCCATCTTTGAATATTTCTGTAGCCAGCCATGCCAAAGGAATTTCCCAGAGGTGATGAAAAAGACCAACTGCCTGGGCAAAAGAAGGGTGGAAATGAGTGAGCAAAACGTGTAACCGTTCTGTGGTTTATGCCTCGGTGTTACAGAAGTCACGACGTTCCTTAGGTGATCTGTTGATAAAATTGCTTTCAATACCCGTTAGTTAAATTAAGAAATGAGTTCTTGGAAAGAAAACTTCAGAAGGACCCTTCCGGAAGGATGCTTGATCTAGAAGGGTCCCTAAGCACCTGCACGTGGGCCGTGTAGGCTGTATGGCTGGAAGAGACCCCAGGCGACCTCACCGTGTAGTCACAGTCGCAAACATATCCCACACTCTTTTGAAGTAAAACATCTTTAAACGCCTACATAGAGAAGAAACTTCTGCAGCTTTTTTTTTTTACTGCGAAGTAAAAAAAGAAAATCTCGTTCCGTGTGTGAATCCTCAGGGGTAACTCATCAGAGGACCTGCCTGAACAGCGTGAAACCCTGAGCGGGCAGAGCAGGTGGGGTCTCGGCTTCCTCTGCCTGGTATTTGTCAGCTCATCCCTGCCCTCGCCACCACTTTGCAGTTGATAACCCAGTAACTGTTCGGGGAAGCTGTTGGTACCTTAAGCAAAAAGCTCTTACTCCAAAATCCAGAGATTTTTGTATGATTTCAGCAATGGTCTGCTCTTTTTTTTTTTCTGATGAGACTGCCTGCGTGCCAGTGGCAGTGTGTATAAGGTAACGATTAGTAAGGAACAACTAACTGTCCAGAAATTCAAGGAGAATGCAGTTAACGTGGGCCTTTTTTAAAAAATGATGATTTGCCAAGCTTCCTGTTAGTGCAGGGCCCGCGCAGGACCTCGCTTCACACCACTGAGAGGCTGTTTCCCATTGCCAAGGGGGAGAAGAGTGTTTGCGGAGGAGTTGAATTGTCGAGCGCGGCAATACCGTGCCCAGTTTTGTTACCTCTTGGTATCTTTTTTTTTTCTATTTATGCAGATTTTTTTTTAATTTATATTGTTTCACTGTGAAAGACTGAAGATGCACAGCTAGCATAAGCATCCATTCCTTGTGACGACATTTCTAGTTGCTGTGTCCTTATTTTACAACCAACGTTTGACTTGCGTTAGGAAAAAATGGAGGTAAGTTGCTCCAGTAAAGACCAAGCGGCCTCCTCTTTCATCAGGACATTTCTTCTGCGTTAGTACCGCGCATCTGGTAGAGCCTCCCTCTTGATCCTGAGCCAAGTCCTTAGTTCGAGTGGATGCCACGTGTGTTCAGTATTCTAGGCTGAGCAGGGAACAGCATTCAGGCCTTATCATCACTGCGGTACTCGCTGCAAGCCAGCCAAAGAACGCTGATAGGTATCGCGGCTGTCTCCAAGCCTGGGCTTCGTGCCATAATCCCAGATGCCCAAGCACGGTGGATTCGGAAGCTGACAAAGCAGGATATAGCATTTCCCAACCTCGTGTCATTTTGGATATTACAGCACAGAGCTCGGGACAATAGAACGCGAGTCTCACTGTAAGTTTGGGCATTTTTTCCCTCTCAGTTTCTTTATCTGTCTTACCTGCTTGACATGATGCTTGTGCCTAGATTCAGAATGTGGGAGGTAGCTGTTATGTACTACATCGTGTTATAACAGCGCTGCAATATCAGAAATTACTCTTCTGGTTTTGGCTGGACCTTTATCTTTTCTTTTGCAGAGCCATAGCGCTGCCCCTCAGTAGCAAACTGGGCGTGAAAGACAAGCAGAGACCAAAAGCTCAGCCTATCCCTGTCCTGGAAACATTCTACAGTACACGCTGCAAGAACCCCGAAGAGGCAAGTCCTTTCTTTTGCTTTCCTTTTGCTTGCCCTTGTGTCTTTAGCCAAATAAAATCACATTTGGAATCCTGAAGTTTGGTAATGCCACTCATATTTGGAAGCTCAACAAACCAGCAGGAACCACTGTAGTGCTGGCCACCCGAGACCAGCCAGCCACAGGGGTCACTCTGCAGGTGCCATCAGCTATCTGTTCTGCTTCGGAACACGGGGGAGTAGCAGCTTTTTATAGGTAGCATTCAAAAAATTGAAATCCCAAACTTCCGTGGACAGGAAACTGTTCTCCCAATGGAAATAATGACAGCTGGTGTTCCCTCTTGTGTTTGCCTTATACACGGCACGAGCGGAAGCACGGGAGGTTCTGTCTGAACACCAGGGAACGTGTTCTTACTGTGAGGGTGACCAGGCACTGGAACAGATTGCCCAGAGAGGTCGTGGAATATCCTTGGGGATGCTCAGGAGCTGTCTGGACGTGGTCCTGGGCAACCAACTCTGGGTAGCTGTTTGAGCAGGGGGGTTGGACGATGACCTCCAGGGGTCCCTTCCAACCCCAGCCATTCGGTGATGTTGTCTTTCCATATATCAGCAAACCCCTGTCGCGTCAGCTGCCTTACTGACTCCACGTTGCTGGTCCCTGCAGCTCGGCAGGTGTGGGTTGCTCGGAGGAGCTCTGGGGTGGGTCATTCTGCTGCTGTCCAGTCCATGGGTTTGAGATTGGCCTTTCAGGAAGCCAACCAAAGTCTTGGCCGTCACCACAAAGATTGTAAGGAGCGTCAGAAAACTGCAGATGGTGGGTAGTTTTCCCATGAGAGATCAAAAGATTGAACTTGAAGAACTTGGCAGGATAATCCAGAGTTCTAATGGCTGCTGAGGGGAAAAAGCATTGGCAGGATTGTGAATGACAGGCAGTATTAGGGTTTACCCTTGTCCGTGAATCCCTGGGTGTGACCCTTGCGGTAGGGAAAGGAATCAGATTTTCTTGCAGCTCCTTTTTGCAGGCTTTCTTAGCCTAGAAGCAAAAAGCTATTAATCCTCCCCAAGGATGTATGAGCAGGGGGCCGGGGTTCCAGTCACAAGGGGAAGTCCTGGCACGAACGTGTTGCTGCCTTGAGAAGGCTGTTGCAGCACGGTTCATAACTGCAGCGGGGCACGAGGAACCCCAGGACGCTCAGTGCCAGCTTCAAAGTAAAAGAATGGAAGCTAAAATAAAAATGCACAGCCAGCCTTTCTCCCCGGCAGCGGGAAGGAGTGTTCTCGGGAACACTTGTCAGCACGGTGGTCCCCGACCTTCCTCTTGCCTCTGTCTGCGAAAACCGCACGTTTCTCAGTGAAACTGCTCCTCTCGCAGAGATCTGTCTCAAGGCCTAGCTTTGCAAGCAGGATTTCCCCGCAGCTCTCCCTGCGTCTGCGCTGCCCTGAAGCTGGAACTTGTGTCACAGATTCTCTGTGACACCTGAGCGTATCCTCACCACGGGACTCCCGACAGCAGCGTGACGTGGAGCAAGAGCAGCACGGCTGGCTGCTGCCTGGCTTTCTCCATTCACCAGATCCGTCTTCTGGCTTTCCCTCTCCCCCATGAGCTCTCAGACACCAGCTTTTACTTGTCTGACACCAGATGAGATTCTGCTGTTCTCATGAGGAGAGTCATGAGGAATGTCCTCCATGAGAGGAATTTCACATTACGGAGCAGTTGGAGAACGTAAGTCAGTGTCTCCATTTGTCTCCACCACAAGAACAGAAATCCCAAAGGATGGAAGGAGACGCATCTGAAAATTGGTAACGAATATACTTTTATACAAAATGCTCAAACTATGTGCATCACTGTCATACATGATGCCATGAAGGTGAATGCATTCCATGAAAAACTATTGCTTTACTTAAAAAAATAAGGCTATGCGTGGTGACACTTCCAGAAGGAATATAAAATGTGACACACTTATTTCACGTCACATGCCAAACCCTTAAGAACCTAGGGACGAGAAGGAAGGTAATTGCAGGATTTCTGTGGGTAATCTATTGAAAAATTATCCCTAAACAGTTTTACCACAACAAGAGAATATCCGGTAGGAAAATGGTGTTGCCTCATGATGTCAGTCAGGATATTGGCTGATTCTGCACGAGAACGGTGAAAGGCATGACAAGATTTGGTGCAGAACTTTAAAAAATTGTTTAAGCTGCAGTAGATCTTTCTTGGAGTAACAGATTTAAGGGACTTGGTCCCTGAAAACAGGGTGTGGAAGTGGTTCAGCAACAAGCTCCTTTGAGGGGACGAGACCAGAGTTTGAAAATAGAAACTGGGGAAGTTCACATAAAAAACGTAAAGTTTCAACGTTCACCGTGAATAACCAGTTTCTTATGAGGGGAGTGGAAAGACTTACACCGAGAACAGACAGCTTTCTGAAAGATGCCTTAAGCTTGAAGAGATTCGGGCTTGCCGGGAGCCTGCCTCTGGGCTCTGGGGGTCAGACGAGACGCCTGTGCTGCCCCTTCTGACCTTCAGACCTGGCCCTGAACCCTGCTGCCTCACCTGTTTTCCAGGGTGAGCTGATGGCTTTAGCCAAACGGTGCGACCTGCCGGTGAGGAAGGTGGAGAGGTGGTTCCGGTGCCGGAGGAACACAGACCGACCCAGCCTGCCGAAGAAGTTTTGCGAGGCCTGGTGAGCGGGAGCACAAGCCATGAGTGGCGGGGCCCTTTCCCTGAAACTGAGCTCCACGGGCAGCTCAGCACCTCCCCGCTGCCCTCCGCCCTGCGCCGAGAGCATCCCGGGTCTTCCCTACCCCACCCGGTGCTTCTGCTGCTTCTCCGTTACTGAAGCGTTCCTTGCTTTCCCCCTTTATTTTCACTCCCAAGTCTCACCTTTTATTCCTGTCTCACCTTTATTCCTTATGGGGCCTCCGCTTCTGACTTTGTGAGACTGGCATTCTGCTTTGAAACGCAATTGTGCCTGAAAAAAACCTCCTCACTGGTCTGCATCTTACTGCTTCCTCCTGCTTTGCCTCCAGAATAGTCGGCCTTACTCTTGCCTTTCCCGTGCCTTCCCTTTGCCTCACTGCAGGCTGATTCCTTCTGGGCATCTTTTCTGCATCTTTTCCGCGTGGCGTTGCTTTCAAAAGTCAGGGGCTGTGGGCTGGACTGTGCTCTGCTGTCAGTTGACTTCAGCATCCTGTCAGGCAACACCCAGCGCCCTTTCATGGCGGCAGAGAAAGGAGCCTGCATGAGAGCCTGGGTTTTCCAAAGGGCAAAACTACTCTTGAAAACAGATGTGTAAAATCTTCCTTAATTACGTGGAGGCACAAAATACATCTGTCAGCCGGTTCTGTGCCTGTTAGTCCTGACTAAGCTTTCCACAGGAAAGGAGGATCCCCCTGAGCTTGGCTGAAATGCCGTACGCGTGAGTGGGTGCTCTGCCTTTGACGTCAGGAACAGCTTCTTGCGGGAGAGCCCCAGAGATGAAAGAAACCAGTAAATATCTGCAGTGCTGTTCATCTGTCTAGAAGTGTGTATCCATAGAGTAGGCATCAACTTGGAGCTCATCACCTCGTGCTCCGTTTAGCACCCAAGCTCTCATTCAAAACCCCCGCCTAAAAACCCTAATTGAAAAAGAAAAAAAAAAGGATGTTCATTATTTATTTATAACATCCCAGATAGTTGCACTTAGAAGTATTTACAAAATCTGCGGACAAGGAGTTGTAAAGCAAGCGTGCTTTGCTTCGGTCGAGGTGAAATCCAAGTTGTCCCCGCGCTTAGCTGGCTTGCGGTAAATAGTAAACAGCAGATTCTTTTCCGGCTCAGCTCACCTAGGATGGTGGCCTTTCACCTGCCCTCTGCCACTGTTTGCAGTCGCTGGAAAGAATGTCTTCCCCACGTGCTGTAGTAGCTACGTACAGTTTACGTCTGTCGTGGAGCTCCTGGGGGTTTCACTGACAGGTGGAGTCTCTCCCTCTGCCTCAAAATGTGGTTACTTCTGATTTGTTACGGAGATTTTTGGAAATTAAAGGTCTGGGTTAGACAGTTCTACTCCTTTGAAGATTTCTCGTGTTTAGTTTAGTAACAACTTGTTTATTCTGCTGGGGTGAAATTCCCCTCATTCCTTACTCTGTGTGTGTATATTCGGTGTGACCTGCCTCTGTCCGCCGAGCTTGGCAAAACAGTTCATACGTAACTTTTGTGGGGGTTTAATGTGGGTAAATCATTACCAGCTCCTGACTGGGACCAAACATGACAGTAATTAATTAATTTACATGATAATGGATTTAGCATGCCTCATCTCTGGAAGCCTAGGAGAGAGATTGGCACTGGTTCTGCTGCTGCTGGGAGGGTTTGGGATGAGTATCTGGGTGATGTTGGTGGGATTCGTGGCGTTTTCTGCCATCTGTGAAGCAGAAGAATCGCTCTTTGCGAAGCCTGGAATGTGCTGGTGACATCCAGGAGCCACTGCTGTTACCATCTGGGCAAACTTTGAACGTAATTAATGTCTTTGCCTTAATCGTGTCATTCTGCGAGTGAGTGATGGACGCACGGAGCTGCAGCGTGGTGCTCAGTGAACGGCACTCTAACCGACTTCTGTTCTGCTTTGTTTGCAGCTGGAGGTTTACATTTTACATGGTTTCTTTCTTCACTGGACTCGCTGTTCTCTACGATGTGAGTACCCAGGCGGTGCCACCTGCTGTTCTACCCAGCCGGTGCCTGCAAGGATGGCAGGTTTTGTTGTCGGTTGTGTCCTCTCAGACCTTCTTATAGAGGTTTTCCCACCGGGTCAGCACATTTATGTAGACCACAAACACGTCGAACCGTGCTTATTTTAAAAACTCCACCTCAAAACCAAGAGGTTTCCTCTTCTTCTGGCAAAGCAGAAGACAGTGGTGTAAAAATAGATTTTTGCGGGGTAGGAGATGGAACCCTTACCTGAGATGAAAGCCGCAGGGCCTGTTTGATGTATCCAATACCTGTTTAAGGTGAAAAACTCAGGCTTCCTTTGGAACATGGGCGGCAATTTCATAATTTTATTTATTAATTTTCTTTTCCTTACTGAAGATGTAAGAGATTCAGGCTCATGCCTTTGCTGTCTCTCTAATTTGATAAAGAATGAGTCCTCTTGATACAACTTGAACTGCCTCAGCAGGCAGAAGAGGTAAGAGAAGCCCTGTGTGTGCTCTGGTCACTGAGCTCTGTTCACTGAGCTGGGATTAGGGGCATTTGTCTTCCTCTGACTGTGTTTTAAAGGTTCCCCCGGCTCTTTTGCTGAATCCAGTTCCCTGGGTGAACTTTGCAAAAGTCGTCTACACTGACACCTTCTGAGAGGGTTAAATCATGGAAAACCTACAGATGGAGGGCTGGCAGACACCAGCTGTGCTTGTAACTTCTTGTTATTGTAACAAGTGAAGCACTTCTAGATTTACACTGACCTTGGAGTCGGAGTTTAAGGTACTCTGGGAGTATGAGGATTACAGGATGAGCTAGCAGAGTGAAGGTTTCTAAATCCCAGCAAGTGTTTTGTGGATCTGGACCAGCTCTGCCTGGAATAAAATGCAACGAAGAATGTGGTAGTAAGAAACTAAAGGAGTTATTTGATAAGAGAAGAATTCCTTGCGTTCATGTTGTATTTTCTTTCCAGAAACCTTGGCTTTGGGACCACAGAGAGTGCTGGACAGGATATCCACAGCAGGTGAGTCATGCAAGAGGGAAAATTGCTGTTAGAAATCACGTCTTGCCTTTTGATATCTTTTGCAAATCAGGTTGGTTATATTAGTGACAAAAGAGAGGGCACTCACAAGCCCTCAGAATTCAAAGCCAGATCTTCATTAAGGGGGAACGTGTCTGCTACAGTCTAAGCACGACAGAGGACGAGTTGGGAGAGCAGGAGCACGCTGCAGAAATAAAGGGGGAGTGCGACTTCTGACCAGGTGAGCCGAGAAACTGAAAAAGGGGGATGCTGCAAGGTGGTTTAGTTTGTGGAGGAGACTGCGGCCGGAGGAGGACACGTGGCCTGAAGAGAAGTGAAGACTTCAGTGGAGAGCATCTAGAGCAGAGGACAGGCTCCGAGTGCTGGGGACTTTCAGCTCTGCTGAAGAATCCTGTCCAGGGGCTCCCCAAGGCGCTTGTTTCCCAGTGGAACTGGCAGCGTGGCCAGTAGCAGCGCAGCATCATTCCCGCCAAGTTCGGAGGATGCTCTCTTGCAGTTTTACGGTGCATACTCTGAGTTTTTTCACAACAGCTCTGCAAGAAGCTGTCCAGTGAGGTGGAAAGGGTTACATCTCTTACCAGTGCAGACCAGAATAGCCTCGATGAAAACTGCCAGCTAGGAACAAAACTTGCTTCATGTTCATCGACACAAGAAGCAAAGATAGCAACCAGAAGCCAGGCACTTTTTTGCCCAACTGCCTCCTTGTTATTCTGCTCCTATAGCTTGAGTTGAAAGAGTTATAAAGGGCCTTCGCCTGCTGAGCACAGGAGGTTTTGCTTGCTCTGCCTTTCCCCTTTATGTTTTTACATGCTCGGAATTCTTTAGAGAGGACAACCGTGGGCTGTTCGATAGCAAAAGCCTTCCTATATCACACTGCTGCGGATGCCAGAGCAGACGTAGTAAAAAGAGCTAAATTTCACCGAAGTGAAAAATCCGATTCCAACTTTGGAAGAGGTTCCTCTGTCCTGTGAGAGTAGCTGGGAAGCGTTTCTAGCAGGATAGTAATCTCCTGTATGACCATGCAGGGAGCTCCCATGCAGAGGATTTTACAGTCTAGGATTTCCTGGATAGGAAATAAAATCTTTCATTAATTTAAGAGGAGGCTGAAGGAAACTTGATCCTAGTACCAAGACAAAGCGAAGACCGCCTGTGTTCCAGGGATTTTTTTGGTCTGGCAGTCAAATTTAGAGGAGGATCTCATGCCTGTAAATTGAGGTTGCAAACCTGTAAATGGAAAGGTAATGCACAATTTTAACAGTGCGAGCCAGGAAACAGAACAAATAGTGAAGAGTGAGGTAGTAATCTTTTCAAGCCAAGTCTCCAGACAATCCGCTGTCTCTCAAAGGCAGAAGTTTTAAGGGCAAATCTGTCGTTCAGTGTAAAAGTCAAACCATACGAATAGGTGGTGCTTGGGTAGGAATGTAAAACTAAAAGGGTCACTCGGATCCTCGTGTCCTGTCCTGTACATTTGGCGTACGTGTCTTTTCAAGAACAAGCCAAGCCATCATAGTGGCACCCTGGGGTGGGTTGAGCCTGGCTGGCTGCCGGGTGCCCACCAGCTGCTCTATCTCCCCCCTCCTTGACTGGACGGGGGGCAAGAAATAATGGTGAAAGGCTCGTGGGTCGAGATGGACAGTCACCGTCAGGGGCAAAACCGACTTGTCTTGGGGAGATTTAATTTATTGCAAAACAAATCAGGGTAGGATAATGAGAACAGATCTTCCCCCCACCCCTCCCTTCTTCCTAGGCTTGAATTCACTCCCGATTTTTCTGTCTCCTCCTGCCGAGCAGTGCAGGGGGACGGGGAGTGGGGGTTGCAGTCAGTTCATCACACGTTGTCTCTGCCGCTCCTTCCTCCTCCCGCTCTTCCCCTGCTCCAGCGTGGGCTCCCACCCACAGGAGACAGTCTTCCATGAACCTCTCCGCAGTGCATCTTTTCCACGGGGTACAGTCCTTTAGGAGCAGACTGCTCCCACGTGGGGCCACAGGTCCTGCCAGAAGACCTGCTCCAGCGTGGGCTCCTCTCCGTGGGGTCACAGCCCTCTTCAGGCACGTCTCTGCAGGCTGTGGGGAATCTGCTCTGGCGCCTGGAGCACCTTCTCCCCTCCTCCTCCGGTGTGGCCTTGGTGTCTGCAGGGTTGTTTCTCTCGTGTATTCTCCCTCCTTTCTTCCAGCTGCTGTTGCGCTGCAGGTTTTACCCCTTCAGTGTGTTACCCCAGAGGCGCTGCCCCCGGCACTGATGGGCTCAGCTTTGGCCAGTGGCGGGTCTGTCTTGGAGCTGGCTCTGGCTCTGTCAGACCTAGGGCAGCTTGTGGCACCCCTCTACCCAACCCTTGCTATGTAAACCCAACGCACTTCCCAACGTCTGTAACAAACAGGAAAGACCAAAACCAGAGCTAGTAATATCCCCCTGGCAAAGAGTGAGAAAGGTCAAGGACAAACCTGTGTATTAGCAGGAGGAGTGTAATAAATACAATTTCTACTAAACAGACCATGCCCTGTGCTACAGACAATGAGAAAAGAAATGCCAATTCTTCCAAATAAATCTTCTCTTTGGGGGAAAAAAAAAAAAAATCCCTTCTGATCCAGAGCTCCTGTTTGGGTAACCCCCAGAGCGTGAACAGCACGTACCAGCCCAGCAGATGTTACTGTGCCCCCTGGTAGCATCCAGCTGGGCTTCCTCCTGTGGCCCATCACTGGCGCTGCAAAGGAAAGCAAACTAAAATCTGTGAGCAACAGTTTGGGTGGAGAAAGCCCAGATAAACTTGGGAGCACCGTACTCCATGATTCTTTGGAAATGCTCGCTGCAAAGCCCCTTTAGCCATAGTAAAATTTTTTTTAAATCAAATAGGTTTGGGTTTAAGGAGGCCATATAGTGCTACAACGGTGAAAAATTACTCATTAAATAACACACACCTTGCTGAGGGGGGTCTAAACTTTTCGTTTTCCAGCTGTAAAACCCCAGAAAAATGACTCAGAAAAATGCAAATCACTGTTCACGCTAGGATTGCACCCATTAGTTTAATTAAACTGAGAAAAATCTGTGATAGAGTACAAAGTGTCTGAAGCCTCTCCCTGAATCTTAAAAAGGGAATGATTTATTTAGTTGCTACTTACCTATTTCACCATAGTGAAATGGTTTACATAGTTCTCGAAACTCTGTACTGACTGCTCAGGAACCTGCACAGCGCTGAAGAAATCCTAAAAATATTCCGAATATTCCCGGTGGTTCCCTAAATGTTCCACGTGATGCAGCAAAATGGAATTTCCCCTGCTGTTTGCTTCCACCTCAGCATCACGACTTTTTAGTCAGTAACCACATTGTGCAGTTGAAGTATTTTTCCCCTGGAGCTGCAAGAACTAGTTTTGTTGGTTTGGTTGCCTGATCGTCTTTTTTCCTAGGAAGGGGGCTGCACTTCCAGCCCTCGCTCTGCTTTATCTGATGGGTGTTTCGTTGTCTCTTCCCCCTCACAGCCTCTCCAGCCCTCCCTGTTCTGGTACTACATGCTAGAGCTCTCGTTCTACTGGTCACTGGTCTTCACCCTGCCCTTTGATGTGAAGAGGAAGGTGAGCGACAGCCTCAGGGAAGAACCAAGCACAGACAGGACCCAAACTGAACCCTTGGGGAAGTCAGCTCTGAGAGTGCAGAGTAGTCTGAGGTTTTGGGGGACTCTGTCCTTGCTCATTCCCAGGGAATTCCATTCCCAGTCACTGGCTTCCCTCTCCTCTGGGAAGTGGAGAACACAAACCCTGACACAGGAAGGTGCAAACTACTGCAGAGTTCTCAATCCAAACTTAAAAAACCCAAACTTTAAAGTTGTCTAGGCTGCACTGATGGTAGAGGCAGGAAAAGAGCCGATTCTCTGCCAGTTGAGCTGCGCGTGTTCCTAGGTGCCAGTGCCCCGACGGGCAGGGTGATGCGTGGTTACACAGGCCTACACATGCACTGAGGATGGGAAAATACCCGCGTAAATATTACAGGGTGGTCCTGAGTCTCCGTCAGTGAGCCGGGGGGGGTGAGATGATGCAGAAGGCCCGGACAGGGGCGCGGAGCAGGGACACAGGCACCGCAGACTTTGTGACAGGAAGGAAGAACGCTTTATGTTGAATTTGTACGGAATCGTTGGCCCTTCTGTCCTGATTTGCACCGTCAGCAGATCATTACTGGTGGAGGGAGAGGAGTGTTCGTTGTTGTGAGATCCTCAGTTTACGCCCTAAACTCTTCATTCCTCCATCTCTTAGTTGCCTGCACTTGTAGAGGGTGTTTGGTAGAAGAGAGATGGGCGAGTCCTTACTGTGGAGGTTTCTCCGTCATTGGGTGGAGATCTCATTGCTGCCTGCAGGAGGCATGCTTTAACCAGGTGTCCTGGGTGAAAGCATCGATACGGTAATGATTTCGTAAGAAATCTAGATTTATTAATAACTACAGCAATTTATCAGGACAAAATAATTCAGAAAGTGGCTTACAGATTCCGAAATTACAAGATGCACTCTTAACTTACTGAACGGTGCCTTAATTTATGCAGATATGGACATGCACGTGCACAAAACGGACATATGCGTACAGAAACAAAGGTGTTTGGGTTGAGTAAAGTGAACACAAAAGGGATGAACACACACAGGAACAAGGGCACGTACCCACACACCCCCCCCCAACAAACAGAGAAGGAATGTGTGAAATAGAAGCCAGCTCAAGGAAAATTTCCCCCTTGAGTTTAGAGCAAATACTCCCAACGCCTTGGCATTGCTCAACGGGCGGTAACTGAGACTCGAGCGAGGGGACTTCGCCCCGGCCGGCCGTCTGGAGCAGACGACACCTGAGGGTTTGGGTTCCTGGGAGGCTCCCCGCTCAGGGGAGACGCTGGTCCCAGCCCGCTGCGATCCGGGAGGGCTCACAGGGTCTCTCTGGTGGTCGCAGTTTAGAGGGTCCAAGATAACTGACCTTTGTCAGATTCCTTCTGGTCTCTTCGGGCAGTTGCACAACGATCTGATGAACATTCCACTCTGTTCTTGTTCCATCTGACCCCATCCCAGGCACAGGTGTGCCAGGCCATCAGGAGATGATGGGCGTTACAGCCGTCTCCTAGCAGTCGGGAGGGGCGGGAGCCACGCTCCTCAAGGTTTTTCTCTCCACAGATTGCTGTATAGCTGGGGGGGATGTGGATGGAATCACACCTAGCACCAGGCAGCCCAACAGGGAGGGGCAGGGAGGGGTAAGAGTTGCACCAGGACACCAGGGCAGAAGGCGCATTATGTATTTTATTCCCTGCCATCCCCTTTCCTCATCAGGACTTCAAGGAGCAGATAGTCCATCACGCTGCAACCATCTTCCTGATCAGTTTTTCCTACTGCGCCAATTACATCCGCATCGGGACGCTGGTGCTGGTGATTCACGATGCTTCCGACTGCTTCCTAGAGGTGAGCTCCACAACCTACCTGCCAGGCAGGGCCCGGCTAGCGGTGGTGCTCTTCAGCCAAGGGCTGGTTTGGGTGTAGCACGGTATGGGCCAGGCATTACGGTGTTTCACTCCTAACTCAGGGCTGATCTCCGGACCCAGCCTGGGGCGCTCTGCGGAGAGCCACGATTGCCTACGTGTAGATCGTATCCTGTGCGGCTCATGAGCCTCCTGGAGCATGTGCAGCTGCACTGTCGTGACCTGCTGGTTTATTGTTCTTTCTCCCTTCCAGCCAACCAAGATATTCAATTACATGAAGTGGAAGAAAACTTGTGACAGCCTCTTTATGATCTTCTCAGCTGTTTTCCTCATCAGCCGCCTGGTCATTTTCCCCTACACGTGAGTCTGCTGCAGTCAAGAGAAATGGAAAAGCTGCCTTCTGAGAGACAGGATAATTCAGCTGGGTTCCTTTCGCTGCACCCTTTCCTTTTCAGTCCTTGAGCGTATGTCCCTGCCCTCTGCATAGGCTGCGGTGCCACATGGCCGCTGCACCTGCCTTGGGGTAAACCAGAGCGGTCTGCCTCGGAGTTCGTACAGTAGCAAAGTCCCGAAGTGCGCGGCAGAGGGGGAGTCCTCGCCCTGCGGCTCCACCCTGCTTATTTCTGGTGGGGAGCTGAATGGTGCCTCACATGTGTGACATAAAAGAAGGAGGTGACCGACCTGAAACTTCCTCTGTGACTAGAGCTTTCTGGGGCTGAATTCCAGCCCTGCTAACAACACACTTTCCCTCCACTGCAATTCCCTCTCTCTTGCAGAGTGCTCTATAACACCTACTATTACTCCATGGAGATATTCCAACCCTTCTTCGGCTACTACTTCGTGAATGCTCTCCTGATAATTCTGCAGCTGCTCCACGTCTTCTGGTCCTGCCTAATTATTCACATGGTCTACAAGTTCATCCTTCAGGGCACGGTATGGATCAGGTTGTAGCTCCCTGTGCATCACGTGGGGAGGGAGGGTCCGCCTGGGCTGCTTGGGAGCACAGGGCTTCAGCTGGGATGGAGTCCTTCTCGCCTTACGGAAATTACACAGGTACATTTCTAACAGTGAGGTGAAGGGAACACTCCTTAGGGAAAGCTGACCCCAAAAAAGTAAAATTGTTATGGGTCACTACAACACGGGGTCCACTTCTGGTGCTTATATTCAGAAATGTGGACTCCAGGGGAGATTTCTGTGAACAAGGCTGGTGACGTCTGAGTAAAGATCCCAACGGTTGGTCCGGTATGGTTTGCATTTGTAACAAAACGTAAGAAATCAAGACAGGGAAGGTTGTCAGGATTAGCGAGGCCAGTGCAAAAGTGCTTCCCTTATAGTACAGAATTTTTAATTAGAGCGTTACTGAGATCACAGAACGGCTGAGGTTGGAAGTCGTCCGTATGCCCTGGCTCAAGCGAGGTCACCTCGAGCAGGCTGCCCAGCACCATGTCCGGACTTTGTGTATCTCCAGGGACAGAGACTCGGCAACCCCTCTGGGCACTCTGTGCCAGCACTTGGTCACCCTCTCAGTAAAAAAGTGTTTCCTGATGTGCAGAGAGAACCTCCTGTGTTTCAGTTTGTGCCCGCTGCCTCTTCTCCTGTCACTGGGCAGTGAGCCTGGCTTAGTCTTCTTTACACTCTCCTTTCACCTGAAACATTATTATTATTAATACACATTGATAACATTCCCTTTTCCAGGCTGAACAGCCCCAGCTCTCAGCCTTCCCTCCCATGTGAGGTGCTCTGGTCCCTGCATCATCTCTGTGGCCGTCGCTGGTTTCTCCCCAGTGTGTCCATGTCTCGCTCGTACCAAGGAGCCCAGATCTGGACACAACCAGCGCTGAGCAGAGAGGAAAGATCGCCTCCCTCGGCCTGCGGGCCGCTCTCCTAACGCAGGCCAGGAGGGGCAAGGGCTCATTGCTGGCTCGTGGTCAACTTGGTGTCTGCCAGGACCTCTCGGTTTTTCTTAGGAAAGCTGGTTTGCCCCAGCATGTACTGGTTCCTGGGGTTGTTCCTCCCCAGGTGCAGGACTTCACGCTTTCTCCTGGGGGACTTTCCAGGTTCCTGCCAGCCTGCTTCTCCAGGTCCCTCTGGGGTACCAGCCACTCCTTGCAGTTCTGTGTCTGCAGCAGTCCTGCTGAGGGGACGCCCTGCCCCATCATCCGGAGCATTCGTACATGTTTTGTATGGATTGTCTTACGGTGCTGTAGATGTCCGTAGAAGAGAGATTTCTGTCTAAACTAGCTGTCTGGACTCCTTCCGTAGCAGTAGAGGTAAGCAGGCATGTCCAAACCACAATCCACTCAGGATTGCACCCAGGCAGTGCTCAGTCTGTATCAGTCACAGAGCAACCCTAGACGGATGTCTGAGCTGCAGCTGTATAAACTGAAACGAAATCCATCCTGCTCCTTCTGACCACGGCCTGCGGTATTTGCTGTGAGATCAAACTGCTGCCCAGCATGAAATTCTTCCCAAATCAAAGGCGTGACCTGGTGGCATTAGGTTGGCCACATGCCAAGGACACAGCCCAGCAGTCGGTGCCTTGTGGGACTCGACCTCATAGCCCGGGACGAGTTGTTGTATTAGCATCCCACCGGGCAATTCTGTCTTACGGGAACTGAGAACAAGCATTAAAGACTCATCTTCATCCGTATTGTCCACATTTTCTTTGTCTGCCTTCCCTTAAGGTGGCACAGACCAAATTACTTGTAAATTAGGAAACAGGAGCTTCGCAGGGCAGAAAACGAACACGGGACTGAAGGTGCCCTCCTGTTGTTTTCCTAATTCTTGCGTGGGCTGAATTACCAGTGCTGTCATTACAGTGTGAAGTGATGAGGTAATAAATTGCCTTCTTAGAAAGAAATCAGAGAGAAAATTACTGAAGCATACCCAGAACTTTTCCTGTTTCATCTAAAAATCATCTGCCACATTTGATGCACAATTACATTTGAGAGCTTTCCATATCCAGCAGTGAACAGCAAAGAAAAATTGTCCTAACAGATCCAATTCGGTGATGAGATGTAGTAGCCCAGAGCAGTATCGGCAAGAACACAGGACATTCTCCCCTTTGTGGAGAGACGTGAAGTTCTCGCTCCAGTCAGGTCACATTCTTCTCGTGGGCCTTTCTGATCTCCAGTTCCCCTCTCTGGCTACAGGATTATCTGCACCGCCCTCTCACATGATGCCCCCTAATTCCCAGTAAGTAGAGCCCAGCCTAGATCCTGAAGTACCAGTTTCTTTCCCTCGTACAAGCAGCCTGCGATAACATCGTTGTCATTCATGCGGCTATAGAGTTCCTTCGTGAATCTTGCTAGGTTTAAGGCCTCGGCTACATTCTCTAGCCACGAATGGGTAAGTTTAGGAATATCAGTTATTATTTGTCCTTGTGCTGCAGGTCGGGACTGCTGCGTAGTTCCTGAACTGCCAGTTCCAGAATGACCTGAGGTCCAGGTTGTTCACAGAAGGCAGCATCTCCTACCCGTGTGGTCCTTGGAGGCAGTTTGAGCTCGGTGCGAGTTTAGATTCTTCCAAGCCCCGTCTGCATTTGGGTGTAGTGATCCCTAGAAAGAGCGCCAGAGCAAAGAGACGTGGTGGTGTGATCCGAGAGATAGCCCCAGAAGGACGCTGGAAGTGGAGACTCCAGGTGTGTGTGCAGCGGCTCGCACACCCTGAGCGGTTTCCAAAGCCCAGGTCACACAAGGGGTTTGCTGCTTTCCCTCGGAGCAGTTTCCAACAAGGTCTATGGCACCGTGAATTTGTCCCCAGTTTTGCCATCTTGTATTGCAGAGCAGAAGCAGCCCGGGAAGCCCACAAGTGCCGGGCTGCTTTTTCTAAACTCATTTTATCATTTTGTCTCCCTTTTAAGGCAGTGAATTAAATATTTACAGAAGTGAATTGCAGATCTCTCAGTCAGTAACGAGAGGAAAAAACTGAACGTAAAACTGTCATCAGACTTGAGTGGCTTTGTGTTGAGCAAATCCTGTCAAAGTGTCCAAAGCTCAGCCTGCAGCCACCCAGGCCGAGTGTGGTCAGAAGTTCTCTCCGTGGCCCTTTTGGGAAATGTTGAGGAGTTTGATTAACTGCCTCTCCCCATCCCTCTTCCACGTGCTGATGCCTGGAGCAGCAGTGTGGATCCCCTCGGTCTCAGTTTTCCTCGGTGCTGGGCATCTGTGGTTGGGTGCTGCTTCTCAGCCTGTACAGCAATTCCTAATGCTCATCAGGGTCACAGGTAGGGTTCTGCTGAGGCTGAAATCAAAGAGGGGGAGAGAATCCGTTTCCGAAGGCGATATAAAAGCTGGAAGGAGACAGTAGAGCTGTGTGCCAAAGGCACGTGGCTGGCTGTGGCTCAGCTAGCACTGCCTCTTGTTTGTATTGCTTCCCAATCACATCTTTCTGTAGATGGAGAAGGACATGCGAAGTGACACGGAAGAAAGTGACAAGGATGAAGAAAGAGAAAAGGTGAGGGAAAAGGAGAAAAACGGGATCACCTATTTCAGCAACGTCACGAGCAACAATTACGTGGAGAGGAATGGATCTGAGCCACGGAACAGCGGAGCCCATCTCACCAATGGCCACGTCAAGGAGAGATAACCACTGCTCCTGTGCTTCTGATCTGGTCTTTAAGGAGTCCGCCGTCTCTAGAAACAGTTCTGCTCATTGTGTAGGTAAAATGGAGTGCAATTACAGTATCATAACTGGATTCCTGCTTCCCGTAAACAAAAGTGTTTATAGTCAGTGATATTCGAAGGAAGTTTTTGGTCTTTCTTCAATAAAAGCTTGCTATAGGTTGTAAGATAGAAAGGGATCAATGTGTTTTGACTTGTATTAGACTGTACCATAGCTGTTGTTAAATGTGTTAATCTTAAAAAAATACTTTTTTTGGGGGAAAAAAAAAAAAAAAAAAAGGTGGATAAACTCTGGCAATGTCAAGTCTTAACCACCTAACGTTAGTCAGCCTTGATCAACCTCCGGAGGCCCTGGCCCGTTGCTGTTAATGTTTAGGGCTAACGAGTAAATTCGAGACTAAATCTAAATACGGGGACGGCTCTTTTAAGAAGACAGGTGCCCTGCACACACTCAGAGAATTAAAACTCAGCACAGTGGAATGAAAGACAAACGAGAAAACATTTTCTCCCCAAAGAAAATGCTGCTGTGTGCCATGTGACCAGTTTTAGACTGGTGGGGATGTCAGTCCCCTCTGCTGACAGCGTTATTGCCACAGAGGTGGGAACTCCAAAACCCGGACTGGGGAGAGTACCCACCCAAATCCCAGTTTTGAAAGAGCTGGAAAATCCAAGCAGCTGTGTCTCAACTGTCAGGTAATCCTTTAAACCCGTCTTGGAAGGAAATGCTGTCAGGAGAAGGGAGGTGACAAGAAACGAGATCAACTGGAAGGCAACGCTGATTTAAGTGCTCGTGTGTTCACCTGGTGGGGCTGGCACAGTGGGAAATGTTGACAGAGTTAGCTTGGGGCAGGAAAGGAGCACATCTCCCCGACGCTCAGAGGAAAAGGGACCCAGAGATCTGCTGAACTTTGCGGAATAATGCTTTAACGTGGCCCTTCTACCTCGGGGGCCTTCACCGAGCTGGATCAAGAACAGCAAGTTTAAAGCAGGAGTCCATGAAGTCATGACGCAGTTTGGATCCAGTTTGTGTAGCTGCCCTGTATCTTGTACCGGGTGTAGCCCTAGGCTTCGGATTCCAGAATGCCTTCAAAAGAGTTAAATCAGTATGACGCGAATTCCTGTTTGATAAATCAATTAATCTATGAAACCAAAGTATTAACAGATTCACTGTAACGAGTGCAGGGACTTAGACTGCCGAGGCCATGCAGACACTTCCCCATGTGCCCAGTAAGGGCCAGTACTAACTGGGGAGGAGGGGGACACGGACCAAGGAAATGCCTGATTTAAGGAGGTGGGGCACATGTTAAAATTCAAAGGCAATAAAATTAAAAGACAGCGTAGAAGGACGGGAGGGTTTTCAGCAATCCGCTCAGATCACGAGATGTGAACCGCGATTGGATCTGGGCCTGTACGTGCTCGTCTTGGGTTTCAGTCAAAAGACGTTGGATAATTTCAGAGGGGAAGAAGCGGTTCCAGTGCGAGTGATTTCCTGGGCAGTGACATGCTTTGGGAGGAGCATCTGCTCCTGCATCATCATTTAAATTTGTGTTTGCTGGGAACGGTTTGTCTCTGGAACCTTGAAGTTCGAAGGACATGTTCTCTATTCTGTCACAATCTGAGTCCAGCCTTGCCACTCCTCTGCAGGTGATGTGTTCAGGAGGGATGCTTCTGTATCATTTTGTACTGCCGAATGTAAACGTTCTTTATAAATTACTTTTGAAAACTTTGGTTGTCTTGGGCTTCTTCTCCTTCTTTTCCTAGCAGGAGGTAACGTGGCTGGTTGGACCTGCGATGGGGCAGACGTGTGGGCGCTCTCTCCGAGGTCGCTGCGCGCGCAGCCTGTGTGGAGGGGATGGAGCACACCCAGGGCGTGTGGCCGTACTGGGCTGTGCCAGTAGAGAGCTGCAGGTGCCTGGGTTGTCTCCTACTGGGTAAAACTGCGTTTGGCCCTGGAACAAACGACACTTCGGGGCAGCCCTACACAGGACCTAGGGGTGGACCAGGTTACTTGGTACTGCCAGGGCAGCTGGGGAAACGCTTTGGACTTGCAAGGGTAGGAGGAGAGAAATTAATATATATTTTTTCTTTTGCACAAAGTTTTAGAAAACCAGGAAAGGCCCCTGTTGTAAAACCACACCGCCCGAGGAGCAGAATGCCCCCCGGGGACCGCAGAGTGCGCTGTGGAGATGGGGCAGACACATCTTGATGCCTGGTGAATTTTATCCTCGGGGCTTTGCTGTCCCCCTGAAGATTGAGATAAGTTTATTAGGGAGGCAAATCTGGTTCTTGTGAAAGGATACACCGAGGATTCAGGAGAGCTGTTGGACTTGAGTAAGGACTACTGAGTGCTGCTTTTAGCCAAGGAATGGAGCATGACCGTGGTGAGTCACTGGGGCGAGTTTCCTTGCCATCAATTTGCTAATGCTTAAAGAAGTTCTGTCTGTAATCAGCTTCCTCGCCCTGTTGTTCCACCTTCTCTCTACATCTGTGCCGGTGTTGGGAAGCTTGTGAGTGCTGTGATCCTGTTTGTGAATTCAGGGTGTCAGCTCCCCCCACACCCTCCCTACTAGGACAGCACAGCCCCAAGCACAGAGAAGCTGTTGCAGGAAGCCGGCAGCAAGACTATCACTTGTCTGCTGAAAAACCCGGCAGAGCAGGTGGAGCTCGGGGCACCACAGCGGAATCTGAATCTATTTGCCCTGTATCTTTATCACCACATGTGCACAAAGTGCATCACCTATTAGCAAGCAACTGTGGGAGATGAGGTGTCCAGTGCCAGGTGAGCTACAAGAAAAAGAACATTGACCGGTGCTCCCAGGCTGCTGTGTGATGGGTGAGTCAAGGAGTGGCAAAACCACGGCCCCCAGGGTGGCATCTGGTTGTCCTAGCCCAAAATTACAGCTGACGTGAATGATTCCAGACATCCAGTGCAGTTTGGGGTCTTCCTGTAAGAGCAGTTTGTCACAGTTGTTCCCTTCCGCCTGCACACACTTGGGAAAGGTCAGAGATGTGCCTCCACTGCATTTTTTTCATTTAGACATGTATGCCCAAGGGAACCTTTACTTGGATGGCTACACTGTGAGAGACATTGTTTTTCTTACTGGCACACGTACACCAGACAGAGTGCCTGCAGGTGAGGGCGTCCCAGAGACCAGCAAGGCATCGTTAAAAACCTGAAGTCATGTCTAAACGAGGAGAGTTGAAAGGACGTGTCACTTCGGCAGATTGATGTGAACATGCAATAAAGCAGGCCAAGAAATATCTTGGGAAGCAATACGAAAGGCAATCCCAATCTCTGAAATGCTGGAAAGACTGCGGGAGTCAGAACATCAAGGCACAGGGCAAGAACACGGAGACAAGGTCAGGCTAGAGCCAAAAAAATGCAGCGAGCTGCCTGCATGGGACTTCCCTGCTTAGGATCCCGGAGAAGATCCGTCTCAAGCTGGAGGGTAAGAAGATGTTACGTAGCAAACTCGCTAACCGGGTAAGAGCAGACCTGCCTGGAGTTCACTCAGGTGTCAAGAGCAAACTCGTACTAGAAGGAGTTAAACTGCCAGCTGCGAAATGCCGGTTTTTGTGTCAATCTTGTTACCGGAAAACTTTGAGTTTCCGAGTGGGAATGTGAAGAGGTACAGCCATCCCTAGTCTGACACCCGGACTGGTCACAGCAGCGTAACAAATGAGGGAATTTGTGGAAACACGTATGAACATGATGTTACAGGAAAGAGTCCTCCTGGGTTGTGTACAAGGAAATCACGTCTCACTCTGCTGGAGTTGTCCCAGAGAGTCGGTGAGCAGAGGGGAGAGCGTGCGACCTCCTCGCCCTTGCGGAGGCATTCAGAAAGGTCCCTCACCACAGAGAAAGCCCTCGGAGGTGTTACCATGGGAGATTTACAGGGATTTTTTTTTTTTTTTTAGCTCTGTATTGTTGTAGGTGCCCCAAAAAGAGGGAGGGAAAGGCAGACGGCAAAATTGGCTGGAAATGAAAGTTACTCGCGATGATGATGCAGAGTGGCTGGAAGCAGTTGCAGAAGGTTTCACGGTACTGAGGGACTGAGCGATAAAACCCAAGGGAAACAACACGGAGGAGAGCAGCGCGATGCACCACGGACGTCTCCTGAAGCGCCGGGCGGAGGGTCAGCACATCAGAAGAGTTTCGGGGAGCGGCACATCCGCTTGGTGCTCAGTATGGAATGGTCCAAAATGCCAGTAGGATACTACGGGATGTTGCTGGGCAAGATGGAGGGACCAAGACTGAGACTGTTGGGGCCCTGAGGGTGCAAGAAGATCTTTATGGCTGTGGCCAGTCTCACCTGGGACCACACCCTCTGCCGGGTGTCGGAGCTGATCAACAAGTGAGGCCTTTACAGCCCGCGAAGGAAACGGCTGGTAGAGCGAGCAAGAGAGGAGCCCCTGTTCTTACATCACCAGGTAGGGACTCCAGTCATCTGTGCAGCAGAGTGTAACTTACTTTCTTGTACTAGGACATCTTACCCCACCTCCAAGCTCACGGGCAGGTCAGGACAAGTGATGCTATTTCAACTAGTCTGAAGTAATGGGATCAAGTGAGAGGTGGGGAGCGTGACTGATGAGCTGTTTTGCTGGGATTCCTGATTTAGGAGAGAGGTTTGTGCCTCACTGCTACCCGCTTGCTGAATCCCAGAGCCTCTGCTCCCTGTGCCCATCCTCTCAGCCGGGATGGGACTATCAGAGGGGTTCTGGCACCATGAATATTGGCTGCCGCCTGGAGCTACCTGGGAAGACATGAAGGAGTCTGCAGGCGTACACTACCCACAGCCTCAGAACCTCCTGCTCTGCATCCCTGGTGCCCTGCTCTTGATCATTGTCCGATGCATCTTTGAAAGGTGAGTGCAGCAAATCCGGTTTTCCTTGCCAGTGGTGTCTTGCAGGGTCACTCCAGACTCATCCTTACCTCCTTCCTGACCACCACAAAATGGATTGTCCCCGAGAATACTGAATCCTCTGCTTTTTGTGACATGTGGTATTCCCGTGGCAGCTCTCTGCCCTGCCCTCCCTCTGTCCCGTACTTGTAACGTAACCTTGCGCCAGCAGCTGTGTAAAGACAAATCAGTCACAACACCGCAGCTGCGGGTGGAGGGTCCCTCTGGAGAGAGGCCAAGCGGGAGCTTGCGACGCAGATTTGCCAGGTACATCCATGTTGGGGTCCCCCAGCTGAGCCAGGGTTCAGCCTGATCCCAGAGGATGCTCCCAACGTGAGCCCCCAGAGGCAGGAGGAGGGGATGTCCCCGGGGCTCACTGTGCCACCGCTTTGCTCGCACCGCTCCTCCTTGGCCAGCTCTGCCCTGCTGCCTCCTCCCAGCACCAGAGGCCACGGCTGGATCGGGGTGATGCCCCCCAGTTGCCGTAGCTGTGGGCATTCACTTGGCTCAGGGAAATTTTACTGCCCAGGGGAGCCGGAGGACCCACTGGCACCTCCCCAGGACTCGCCTGTGGAAACGAAGCAGTTCCACGTGGCTCAGCACGGGAGATGGACCCAGACCTTCGGGGCTTTGGGCCCCTTTTCCAGACCAGCCCTCACACAGAGGAGCTGATCAGCTGAAGCAGGGCAGTGCTGGTGTGGGCAGAGCTGCTGAGATGCTTCTCCACCAGGCAGAGCAGGGCTTCGGGCTGGGAGGGGGGCGGGGGGTGAAGTAGCAAGGCTGTGCTCAGCAAACACACCCTCAGCTGGGACGGGGGCTTTGTCCCGTGCTCTGATGGGGCTGGGGCAGCACTAGCCCATCGCCCTGGAGAGCTGGCTCCTGCCCGCTGTGCACAGCCGGGGGAGAAGCTGTGACAGACGGGCCGTAGGAAGAGCCAGAATTAATTCTGGGGTCATCAGGTCTTCCCCCAAAGGTGTTGCACTTGCTTGTCTTCCTAGAAACAATGAGATTTTTAAAAACCGGTGTCTTCCACTAGAGCCTTGCTGGGCTTTCCTGCAAAGCTGATGTTTCCTGCAGGAACCAGCATATCCCCCTGTGCTCCTGCTTCAGCCAGCGGGCACAGCACACGGGGAAAACACGTGCTGGACCGCTTGGGAACGTTGTAAAGGTGACCACCATGCACTCCGACAGAGAGAAATGCAAGGTGTCTCAGGGCCTTGGCAGAGGAATTAAAGATTGCTTACTTTGTAGTTGTTATTGTGGTCTCCACTGCATGCCTCACTTTTACTTCGGTGCCATCGCATCTCTCTCTCGAAAGAGCATTGACCTGACAGAGGCACCAGGCTTTGCGTGTGCCCCTGGAGCAGTACTGGGCCCCTTGGGCTGTGTAGTCGGGGTGTGCTGGACCCCCTGGGCTGGACGTGTGAGCACCCAGGGCAGGGCTGGGCCCCTGGTGCGGTGCATTCCTGCACGGGGTACAGCGCGGGCAGGATCGTGCTGCTGGCTGACCCTGGCTCACAGCGTGGGCACACACACCCTCTCCTGCTTGAACTCTCTTTCAGAACCGTAGCTCTGCCCTTAGGCAGGAGGTTGGGTGTGAGTGACAAGCGGAGGCCCAAAGTTCAGCCCAATGCCACGCTGGAAGGCTTCTACGTTCAGCTGAGCAGGACCCCAAAGAAGGTGAGTGTCCCCCGTGTCCTGGTGTCCTGAGGGCTCAGACAAGTTACACCGTCTCCCTGTCCAGATCCCCAGCCCAACCACAACAGCCTCAGAGGCAAGGCCGGTAGAGCTAACCACCCTTCCAGGGAAGAAAATGAATCTATATT